TATCGATTTACCGATATTTAAGCATTTTACCGTAATCGGATATCGGTTTTGTTATATCGGATTCACCGATAAATGCCGCCATCTTGTGGGTGTTTTGAGAATTGCGCACAGGATCGCCATTGAATGCCTGATATGTAGTTTATGCAGCTTGGCTCTAAGAAATAGAGACCAACTCACGGAGTCATGTAAGATAATCCGCCAAGTCCTGTGCTAATAAAGACGTAACTTTGCCTGAATTAAATAATATGCAGCCATGAATGAGCGCATTTTGGAAATAAAAGCGCTGATTTGAATTCTCTCTCTGTTGTCTATGCTCATCGTTAGTCTCGTGAAGTCGGAGTCACGTAGATAATCCGTCAAGATCCTCTCCCAATAAAGACGTAACTTTGCATGAGTTAAATAATACAGCCATGAACGAGCGCATGTTGGAAATAAAAGCGCAGAATTTAATTCTCTCTCTGTTGTCTATATTATCGGTTATCGGGCACATAAACATGCAAATAATTGGTATCGGTATCGGTAATAAAAAAAAAAATCAATATCGGTCGATCACTTGTAAAAACAATAATGTTGACTCTAGTCTCCATCCTTTAGAAATCATTCTAATATACTTTATTAGGTCATTTAGCAGTGCTATTTTAGTATCATACAGTTATAATGATAGTTTTTAATCAGTATTTTCAATTAATTTTTATTTTATATTTTCTGTCTCAATTTTAGTTAAAGGTTTAGTAATTTTGTTGTTTTTATTTTGTTTTTTAATATTTTTTTGTTTTTTTGTTCATTTTTATTTCATTTTTAGTTATTTTAGTACATCACAATAAACTAAATGAAAATGAGAAATGTTGTAAAGTAACAAAAAATGTTTTATGGTTTATATTATATTAAATGTAATTATATTATATTACTAACCCACTAATAACTCAAGAAACATTTCTTTATTCTATTATCAATGTTGAAAGCAGTGATACAAACTGTGAAACTGTGATACATTTTCTCAGTCATTTTTTTCAGGGACTTTTGATGACTTACATTTATTTGAAATAGAAATTGAAATAGAAATTTTTTGTAACATTATAAATCTCTTTACTGTCACTTTTGATCAATTTAATGTTCCCTACTGAATAAAGGCACACTTTTCAACCGTTTTCTCCTTCAGATATCATAGATATGTTGAAATTAACATTAATTCATAAACCATTTTCTTATAACAACATTATGGTTGGGGGGGGGGACGAAAACCCCCAAACTTCCTTGAACGCTTGTGACTGAATTCGATAAAGGCCAAAGTTGCCACACTTCCCATGTGCCTGTTAATCTAAGTGCTGGGAAAGTCAGGAAAACTCCATTATCTAAGACTAATTTCAGTGCCTTAATACTCATCTCTTTATGCTGTCTATGTAAGTGACTTGGCCTTAGGGGTGGGCGCTATACCGATATGAAAGTGAGTACCGGTATTATGTTGTTCCATGATATGGATTTTGCTATACCGTGGATACTAGGGCTGCACGATAAATCGCATGCGATATTTAACGCGCATCTTGTCAGAAAGCCGGTTCTGTAATCAG